CCATTATCCTGGACTGGTCACATTCCATTTGCATATCGACAAGTCATCTCCTAACTCCTAGAAATTATTCTGTCATTGTGGGATATGACAAAGCCAGAAAAACAGTGCGTTATTTTTGCTTTAGAAGTTGCTGTTTGTGTTTGGAGAATGGTGTTTTATTAGTGTGACTCCAGATAATTTTTATCTTATGCTTAGAATGCTTTGAAGTGCTTCAGTTTAACAATAACATTTTGAAGGCTTTGAGAGTTCAGTAGCTGCAGGCAAACACTTTAGGAAGCCCTAAAGACAGCAGGATCTCTGGGGAAGAGCAAGAGGCAGGGGCTTCTGAGAATATAAACTGGGAAAGGAGCACAAAGCTTGCAGCACCAGGCTCCTGAACTCTTATTCCCAACAATGCTGCTATTTGGTTTTATGGTAACCAGCGACAATGACACTGTCACGGCTAGTGACAGAGGAGTGCTCACATCTTCCCTGGAGGAAACTGAAGTGCCAAAGCTGGGGAGTCCCAAAGCTTGAGTGGTGCTGTATTGCACTCTAAATGAGATCCTTGCTTCCCAGGGGATGAATCAAAGAATAAAAGCTGTGGCTTTCTGTATGGATTTGCACGAATTGAGGAGACCTGAACAGCCAGAATGTCTCCAGGACACCCACGCGGCAGAGCATGTTGTGAGGGTGGGACCCGACTTTCCGATGTGCTCCTGGAACACGCAAACCTGCAAACATATAAAAAGCAACATAGACCACTGTTTCCCCACCCCCACCCATTTCTTTCTTGTCCGAATGGTTTTCTCTAACACTAGTTCTTCCAGCTCTGATGTTCCTAAAAAGAACAGCTCAAATTTCAAGTTGGTGTGGCTTGCTCTTCAACAAGATGATAATGGATAGTTACTCTGGTTTTCATTTGTGCCTCTGTGCGAGGTTATTAAGTATCACTTAAAGGGCTGGTCGATGACATGAAGGCACATGAAAGCAGCCCTCCGCAGATAATGCACGCTGTGACTGCGTAGCTCCAGAAACCATCTTGTGAGAGGGTGGACAACTGGGCCACACAATATTCTTCTCTACAGGAACCTTGTACTGTATCTGAAGCCATCGCAGGGAGTTGAACAGAGGCTGTTTGGAGCTCTAAGGCAGGTTCTGCCCTGCGTTAGCCCATTTTTGCCTGCAAAGAATACCTCCCTTTATAGATGAAAACATATTATCTGGACTTGGGTGTTTGGTTTCTTAAATTCTCAGTGGGGTGGTGGTGATTTGAGTTCCGAGGAGGACAATATGTAGTTCCTTTGTCATGAACTGGAGCAGTTTTTTTGCAGGGATTGGGAACCTATTTATTTATTTACTAGATAGTTAAACGTTCTCTAGAAGGCTCAAAACATACAACTTTATTTGCTTGTTTTCTTTTAGGAATTGGTTCCTATGAAACATCAAGAGCAACCCACGTGGGAATCGGGGCTGGTCAGTTCACACATGCAGACTTAAAAGTTTCCTCCTGTACATATCCACTCAGGCAGGGGTGGGGAACCTGTTACTCTCCTGTTTACCTTACAAGCATTTTTGCATCTCTACTGAGATAATGTATGTAGAACTCTTTTAAAAATTATGGCCAAATGCTATATAAATGCCAAGTGTTTGTTACTACTCTCACAATCCTAATAATCAGAATCTAAAGAAAAATATGATATTACTGTGGGTGGATTTATCATGAGGGAGAAACCTGTAGGTCTGGGGAAAAGCAGGTTTTGTGGTACACCATTCTTGGCTGCTGGGCGTGCTGGTTGGGGCTGCTGGGAGTTGGGACTAAAAAAAAAACCAAAACACAAAAACTTGAGTGACCACAGGCTCCTTGTCTCTTCTTTAAAGAGTGGCCTGATCACACCCTGAGATGTGACAAAAGAATGCTAATACTTCTTAATGGTCCAGGATGTCCAGTAGATGCCCCTTTGTGGGAGCTAATTGTTAGAAGATGGTTTCTTGGGACAGAGATCTCTCTGGAATGTTTGGAATGGGAAAGCTTCAGACTTTGAAGAGGGGTGTCTGGGTAGTGTGAAGAAAGGGCAATTTGGGAAGATAGTCAGCAGGGAGCTGAAGGCACCTAGTGGATTATGTGTATCCCCTGGGGATCAGTTGCAACAGATCACATCTGCACCTGGTAGGACTGCACATACTGTTTGCTTCCATTTATGCCGTATATTACAGAAGCCTAGTAAGTCTCCCCTTTGGGGAAGGACCATGGTTCAGTCACAGAGCATCTGATTTGCACACAGAAGATTCCAGATTCAATCCCTGGCAGGTCTAGGTAGGAGTGGGAGAGAATTGTGTCCGAAATCCTGGAGAACTGCTCCAGTCAGTGGTGCCAATACTGAGCTAGAGGAGCCCAATAGTCTGACTGAGTCACTTTCCTATGTTCCTGGGTTCTGGTGCTCTCTCCTTCAAAGGAAGCTAATTCCAGGCAGCACTTGTCCCTGGAACACCTCACTGGCCAGGGATGTAAAGTGGGAAGCACTTTAACAGTGTGCAGCTATGAGAAACTTTGACTTATAGGGTGGTATCCAATGAAGTTTTACTCAGAGTAGACCCACTGAAATTAATTGATCTAACTTGGTCATGTTCATTAATTTCAGTGGGTCTACTCAGAGTAAGACATAGCTGAACACCAGCCATAGCATACTTCTCCACACAATCTCTATAACCAGAAGCAGTTGAGAAGAGTTGTATGGAAGCCATTTATCTCCTTCTGGATCCATATATGGTGTGTGTGAACTTGACTGTGGCCCAGAGTGCACATAACGTATAGATTCCCAAAGAGAAGTTTGTGTCTGTTGCACACCTCCCTGGGTCCTGCTGCACTACCTGGGGCTAAAGCATGATTTGGCTTAGCATTACATCTGAGCCCAAGCTCATGGTTTGCCTCAGACAAACCATGTGTTGTAACCAAGGTTTGTTCTTGCATTTTGTATTGGCAAGACAAACAAGGAGACGGAGTTCAGATGTAGCACTAATGTTTGGAGCACTGAGTTCAGATGTAGCTTAACTCTGGCAGCAGCAGAACCAGGACATGATATTCACTTGTGGGATCTCTACACACTTGCTAATTTTTGCGAAGCCATTGTTTGACTTAGCACTACATGTGAACTCTGCCATTTACTCACATATATTTTGGGCCAGCCGTACTGGCTCCCACTATCCCTGGGATTAATGTCCCTGATTATTATGGTGCTTTGTCCTTCCAGAAACTATTCCTCTCTTCGTGCCTAGGCACAAGGAAGCCGTTATACTTGAGAAAACACAAGTCCTAGGGAAGAACAAACCCAAGTCACTTTTCTCTGTTTTAGAGAAGGGTTTGGACCAAGCAATGAACTGTTCAGAACGCTGCATGTTCTGCTCTAACAAGTCTCACAACATCCAGAAAACAGGCACATAGATAACAGTGGCCATCAATAATAAGAAGCAGGAGTTGCAATATGTCCTTATGCCCCCCAACCCCAAAAAACCTTGGGCCCTGATAAAATGTACCTGTCTCCCTCCTTCCATTCTTGGGCCTGAGGTAGTGATGGTGCACTGCAGCTGACAGCAATTTTACCTTTGGTCTCCCTGGCGAGAGGCCGGTATACAGAAAGCACGGCTGTGAGATGGCGATGACGACTAAGAAGTGCTAAGTAAACATCCAGAACAGCAGGCCCCGGGTCCATTGGGAGACAATAGATTATTCTCACCAAACAAACAGAAGAGGAGGCAGGCTTATAATAGAGAGTCAAATGGGTCCACCTGCCCCACAGGAGACTCTCTAGGGTCGGTGGTGCATTGGCTCTGCTCCTGAAAGAGGCCACCATTTAAAATGTCCCCATTTACTAATGTCGCTGCGACTTTGTGAAAAGGAGGGAATCAGCAGCAGCAGCAGCAAACAAAAAGCCCAAAGTCCAGTCCCTCGCTGCGCTCTCCCCTCTGTGTCCTCCTTGCGCCTGGCAGATTCGGAAGGCTCTGGAGAAGAGAAGGGGACCTTGTTGAGGAAGCAGCTGCCCTTCCCTCTTGCGGGGCGAGAAGGGGGGGACGAGGGAGAGAGGAGGAGGGGAAGGAATCAATATGCAGGGAGAGCCCTCTCTGGGAATGAAGGGAGCCTCTATTCTCATCCTCTTCATGCTGCTGGCACGCAACAACAAAACGACCGTGGGTGTGGGGAGGCGATGCATTTGGAGGGGGGGAGAAGGGGGAGGCGAGCCCAGTCTCTGCAACAGGGTCGTGGCTGGGCAAGGCCCAGAGCCCCCCCCTCTCCCTGAAACAGGAGGTGTATGTTGGGGGGGGCACATATCTCCCTCCCCACCCCGCGGCTGCCTCACCAAGGCGCTTGATGGCGTAACTTAGCAAAGTTTGTTATGGCCCCAACGCTGCGCTTAGCATGACGCAGCTCAGGCAGGCTGTATTATTTTGGTCTACAGGTACCAGCTGTTAAGCGCTGAACAGCTGACAGGACCTCTCTCTGTCTCTCTCCCTCCCTCTCCCCCCCTCTTTTTCTCTCTTCCTCTACCTCCCTCCTCTTCTCTCTCTCCCCCCTTCCCCCTTCTCTAAGCACACACACAAAACAAAGAAATCTCCCAGACCTCTCTGAGGGTTCCCTCTCTCCTCCCACCCCCCACAATTGGGATTTCAGGACTGGTTTTCCGGGGGTGGGGAGGCGGGAAGCAAAACAAAATAGCACTATCTCTTTACTTTGAAACTCTCCGTTTTGCCTGGAAAGCTCTGGTCATTCTCTGATTTAAAACAATCCGGGCCTCTGTTTCTCTGTTTGCAGGTCAACATTCTGCCTCTTTCATTCCTTATAATGGCCTTCTTTTTTAAAAAAATTAAAAAATCGAGATAAGGTTTCTGTTATTCTCTCTCTGTGGGGTTTTTCTTTTTCTTGGGGAGGTTTTTTTAAATAGCAAGCTGATAATTAACCCTTCACACAATAAGGTTTTATTGCACAAATCACCACCCAGCAAATGTGGGGGGTGCTGAGGGGCAGCAACATGGCACAACAAACATGAGACAAAGCAGCTTGTTCCAGACACAACATCTGCAGAATGAGTCCATTTTTCTGTAACTCTAATCTCATAATTCATTGTTTGTGTGGTGTTGGTTACAGTAGCTGAAAGGGAGAGAACAGCAGGTCAATTTGGCAGCGATTCACATTTGAATCTGAAATGAGGGCCTTGCTCACCTTATGACAAGCAGTTGAAATGTTGCCAAACAGGGAAGGGAAATGTGTGCCTTTAGAAAGTAGCATAGCCAAGATGGGACCGTATTCTGAATAGGAAATGCATGGTTTATTCATGTCAATAACAGACCTTAGCTTACTTAAAAGGGACATGTGTCCTTCTGGGGGAGGAAAAAGAAAAAGCACAATCTGTTTTAAAATGCCTGACTTCGGAGCCTCGCAATTCACTTACGGTCTTTGAAATATGTGAGCTGTGATTTTATAGTTGATCACAATATTACTTTCCTTTAATTGGAAACCTCCCCCCCCCCCATTCACACATATGCCTAGTTTTTAATGCTACATTTTGGCAAAGGGATTGCTGTCCTCTCCGCTGTTGGAGGCTGTGCTTTGGAAGAAGAGGCAGGATGCATGAAGTCCTTCCCTCCTTGCTTCTATGGGTGTGTTTGCTCATATCCTGAAGGAAGGCCCCCAGGAGAGTATTGTGCCTGTGAGTGAAACAGAGTGTGTCATTCCTTGGCTTCTTCCTCCACCCCCCACAAACAACACTTCAGTGCACCACTTCTGCATCAGTGTTTGACCTTGAGTTTGTTTTTGTTCCCTCTTTGAAGACTCCCACCCCCCACTCCTGCATCTGGAATCAAAAAAGGACAGTGCAGCTGGGCAGCCCCCCCCCAATCTTTTCCTTACAAACATTCTCAGTTTCTCACTTTGATGTCTTTAACTCTTTTAAAGAGCTGCTGGGTGCAGGAACAATGCAATGCTTTAGTCTCAAAACACACCCCTGAGCCTGCCTGAAGATCATGCCCTTTCCCCTTCGCCCTCTGGAGCTGCGTAGGAGGAGTGTGATAACGGAGAAATCACTCTGCACATGCTCAAGTGTCCCCTCTTCTTTATTATTGACTTTCAGGTTTAATCCACGGCTGAGCCCTGGCTCTGAAAAGAAGTTCCGTGAGCAAAACTCTTGAGGAAGCCTTGCTCAAATCCAGCATTTGAAAGCAGTCTTCCCTCTTTGCCCCTGCTGAGCAGGAGGAAAGGAACAGCACATCTCTCCATGGTGTGGAGCTTCCCTCAGCTCCAGGCGTGGCAGAACCATGGCTGTGCCTGCGCCGGGAGCGCCTCTTTCGCATAGCGCACAGAGCCGCCAGTGCCACTAAAACAACCCAAATCTGTTCGCCTTTGAAACTAGTCCGGAACAATAGCCAGCCTTGTGCTTTCTTGGAGACTCTGTGTCCCTGTCCTTGCAGCTGGTGCTTCTACCAGTACTAAGCTCCAGCGAACAAGGTCAGCTGAAAGCCTCTCTCCCCTTCATCCTCCCCCCTTCAAGGGCTTCCCTATCCACTGGGGCCACTATCAGTTACATGAAACATTTGGTTTCCAATGGACTGTTTGTGCTGGAAGGCACAGGTCCATTTGAACAGCAGGCAGTGATCCTAGGCAGCAAAGGCTTGCCCTGTGCTAGCTGACAACAATTTCGCCTGCACAGAAAAGTACAATGGAGACAGATCATGCACAATGACAGGCTGCCGGCGGCTCCAGGGGATCCATAATTCATGGTGTTTTTCTTACCAATCCGGTTTTGGATTTCACAAGCTGGCCAGTTTCCTTCCCATTTGTTGCTTCCTTTCGCCCCTCTTTCAAGAGATTTAACTCTGTAACCCAAACGCAGCCCTAGGAATAAGCAGGGACAAAAAATGATGGTGAAGGGTGCAGCTTTGTAAGACACGGGAGAGATTCCAAAAAGCCGATCTTCTCAGTGTGCTTATTACATGGAATAATCCGAGCCCTGCTCATTAGTTTGTTAGCTTCTTTATAAATGGGTAGCAGCAGCAGCAGCGGCAACAGTAACTCGCTATGTACCGTTGCCTTGAACTGCAGCTGAGTTCATCAGGTCATCTGGTAAAAGCAGGGATACTGGGCCTTTCAGCAATTGGCTGATTAAAGAGGTTAATCGGAGCTTTTATGGATTGTTCCTGCACAGATAAGAACCAAAACCTAATCTTCCCCATCATTTGCAATTGAAGGGTCACATCCTTGCCAGACAGAAAGTTGCCACAGATCAGATGCAACAATCTTACTGTTTTTACTGTCATAAATTGTCCCTTTACATAGCAAGTGCCTTCCAATTTGTGAAATATCTGTTTGCTCCTGCAAGGGCATCCCTAGCTAGCTATATGACTATTGAGGGCAGATTTGTATTTAAGGACTTGCTGGCTAGCTCTAGACTGCATTGCAAGCAGGTGAATCCACAGGCTGGCAGAGAGGGACTGAGGACTCCATTCCAAGTCCATGCTTAGCACAGAAGCCGAAATAGCCGTGGAAGGAGGGAAGAAGACCTCCTTCTCTGTACCCAGCCCAGAAATGCAGTGTGTTGCTGCGGGGTGGGGTGGGGGCAAGGATTAACCTCTTCAGTTCCCAGCAGGATAGCACATTTTGTTGTTGTTGCAAAGTCTGCTGGTGATTTTATTTCATGTATGAATTGTTTCCTATGAAACATCTCAAAGTGATTTTGCAGTACAGTGGTACCTCAGGTTACATACGCTTCAGGTTACAGACTCCGCTAACCCAGAAATAGTGCTTCAGGTTAAGAACTTTGCTTCAGGATGAGAACAGAAATCGTGCTCTGGCGGTGCGGCGGCAGCAGGAGGCCCCATTAGCTAAAGTGGTGCTTCAGGTTAAGAACAGTTTTAGGTTAAGAACGGACCTCCGGAACGAATTAAGTATTTAACCCGAGGTACCACTGTACAATAAAAACATAAAATTGCATATATAAAAACAGTTACATATATATATATGTAAACAATTTCATCCAAAACAGATACCGTTCAGGATATAAATTTTCTACTTAGAAGGCTTATTGAAATAGGAAAGTCCAAAAAGACAGTATAGATTGGTGCCTGTCTTGATATGTATCGGGAGGGAGGTGTTGCCACAGGGGCTGTATTCAACTAATCCATTGCACTAGCAGGGTTTCCTAAACTTGGCTCTCCAGCTGTGTTTGGCTTACAATTCCCATCATCCCTGACCAGTGGTCCTGCTAGATAGGGATTATGGGAGTTGTAGTCCAAAAACAGCTTGGCTGTTTGGGAAACCCTGTAAAGGAAGCCAGTGCAAGGATTCCCACGGGTGCAATGGAAATTCCCCCTCCTGGCACACCTTCCCCTTCTCCATATCTGCTCTGGAAGACTTGTCAAAGTGCTATAATGTGCTTTAAATGTATATGACAAATCTTTGGCACCCCCCATTTATTCTGCTCTTGGCTGTTTTGTGCCATTTTGTATGGTGATTTAAATCTACACTGTACCTATTTCAACTGTGATATTTGTGTAACCTGCTCTGGGACCACTTGGTGGAGGGTGGACCAGAACTACAAATAATAATCAAACAGCGGGGCTCACTTCTCAGAGCTTGGTAGTCCTTTCAGCCGGAAAACCTCTCTCCTCAAAGTATCTGCAAGTCAGCAGGCAAAAGGTCTGCATGGAGAAGGTTTGCAAAGTGCCATCAGTTCCTATCATATCACTGTCCCCTGCTGGCGGCTGCTCTGTGAATGAGACACTTTCAGTTCCATTTCATGGTTAACGGAAAGAACAGAACACGAAAGCTGGGCTCCCTTGGACACAGTGGGGATGGGCCTGTGTCGCTGCAGATGGCTGGGTCATCTCTGTGGTTTAGAAATGCCCAAGTAAGGTTAAAACCACAGTCACTGTGGTTACAGATGACTGTGATTATTCACACAGTAAGTGATCCAATTATAGAAGTTCCCTCCCCCACCTCCATTTCATCTGTTTAAGAAGTGCATCACAAGCCTCTCTTAATTTGATTTTCATGAAGACAGAAATGTGAAAGGAGGAAGGGCAGGGAGAAAGGTGGGGAGGCAGATGGGACATCGAAGTCTCCATGAGGTTTTCTTTCTGAGACCTGCGTGTCTTTAAGGTTTTATTTCCAGACTTCAGAAACGGAGCATGTCTCTGAGGGTTCACACTTGGTAACTGTCAGGCCACTCAACCGGTGTGAATGCAAAGGCACTGTGCTGCCTGCCATGATCCCTGAGAAGCGAAGGGCTGTGTGCTGTGCTTTTCTTCAATAGGAACAAATCCACAGAAGTGGAAGGAGTCTGGTAGGAGTCGGGAAAGGCCTGTCTCCACACACAGAAAGGCCTTTCGGGATGGAAAATGCTTGTGAACCCTTATCATGCAATAAAGTCCAGATAATGTACAGGTGCCTAAACGAAACAGCAGACTTTCTGTTGACACAAAACAACACTTGCTTTCAGGATAAGCAGGTGTGTGTGTGAATCTGTATTTGGCCATAACAAAATAGTTGCTTTCTCCTTTCCGAGAAGTCGGTTATCGTTTTGGCTTCAGTTTACCTCCTCATAAGGCAGCCCTGTTTAGGGAAGCTTTTAATGTTTGATGGACAACTGTATTTAAATATTTTGTTGGAAGCTGCCCAGAGTGGCTGGGAAAACCCAGCCAGATGGGCGGGGTATAAATAAATAATAATTATTATTATTACCTATCCTGCAATTTTAAAATATTCAAAGAGATGGCACTTTCAGCTGGGAAAAAAATGGCTGGTTACTAGAGTTTTTAAAAGCCACTGTTCTTTTATCTTCAACCCTGATGAACGAGGCACCTTCAGATGCCCCCGCTCACCATTACTTCTTGATGTGAAGAAGTAGAAGGGGGGGGATGTTATTCCCTGGCCTCTTCCACAATTGCCATTCCCACAACCCTACAAGTATTAGGGACTGACTTCTGCAGTAGGGAGCCTCTTTGACATGTGTAGACTCCCCATCACAATCAGAACCTTTGGGAGACATTTCTCAATCAAGCTCCCTGCTACAGATGTCCAGCCCCCCTCCCAAATATCTGGAGGATTGTGGGAATGGCAATAGTGATGTCATGGAGTGGGAGGGCCTGGGAGGGCTTCTTGCTCTTTCCATTGGGCAACACAAGGCAAGGTGTGGGGGAGAGAATGCTTGAAAAGGGTTTCAGTCTCTTGTTTTGATCCCTTTAACTTGGTCCAATCTCATATTATCTTTTACATTACCATGTGGAAAATCCACGGCTGGAGGAAATCAGAAGCAAGAGTAAAGATGCCCAGGATAATCAGGGTGGTATCCTTGCATTTTAAATTTCATAATAATTGACTTTGTAAATTTTATTTCAGTCATTATTCTGGGTAGGCTGAGTTTGATGGAGTTCATAATTCATAGCAAGTATACAAGAGGATCTAAGAAGTATGCCATAAAGAGTGAATATGTGTGGCTAAAACATCCTGAAATTCTCCCCCAACTTCCAGAGGTTATGATATAAAACTGAGAGCTTACCAAACATAGATGAAAAGGTCCCTATAACAAAAAAGAGAATTTGAGGAGAACTGGGTTGATATTTGGGGGACAAGGGTTCTTGTGTATTTTATAGTTTTTATATTTTGTCAGATCACAGTTCACCCATGATGTTATGTAGCATAATAATAGAAATTTATATTTGCTTTATGTGTGAATGGCAGGGGGAGGGAAGACGTGAGGATCAGTACTTGTTGCTGCCATACCATGTCACGTTTTGCCCTCACAGCAACAGATGTGAATGCAAGGTCTCACTTTTAATGAAACCATGACAACCCTGGACTACTTGCTGCTGTTGTGCTCTGCAGTGTGGCAGGGGCCAACCAGGGTAAAGGATAGGCAAGGCAAGCAGGTTCCCTTGCTGGGTTCAGTGCAAGGCTCAGTCTGTGGTCTGGAGAACAGAAAGCTCTGAAGTTGCTCCAGGAAGCAATAAGCTGAAACTGAGCCCTTATATAATAATAGCAGCAGCAGCAGCAGGTGGTGCGGTGTAATTGTTAGCACCACTTGTGCTGAAAGTTGCTGCTCTATGTCAAGGGCCCAGCCTTCTCCAGTAGCCTTCTCCTGCAACAGAGTGTCTTCTTGTGTCTTCTTCAGCAGAGCCCTCCAAGTCAGAGGACTGCAGTGGCACATAGGGTCACTGGCCCAGTAGGTGCATCTGGGAGCACTTCCAGGACTGGCCTTCAGAGTTCTCACCCTCAGCCTCTGAAAATGAGGAATTGGACTCCAGGGTGTAGCTCCCATGGTTGAACATGTTATTCCACTATTTCAAAACTAGTTGAGTTCTTACAAAAAAGTAATCTTTGTAAAATTTTCATGTTTATTACCCTTTCATGATCATTTCATTGATATTTCTTTTTCTATAAAACCTTCAATACTCTTTATAACTGTTATCAGTATGTAGAATATGAAAGTTTGGTGATATATTTTATGATGTTTCATAACCACTTAATTTTGCAATACCTGTTGATAGCAGTTATGGTTTTCATTTTGCCATTAAGGTATCAGCTCTGGCTGGTGGTTGAGCGGTGACCCTATCTGTGACTGACTTCTTCAAGTGCAAATTTACCGTAGCTTCCTTATATATAATCATGAAGTGCAACTCTCTCCAGTGTTTCAGAGGCAGCAGCTTCAGTGGATTCAGTCTATGTGCACGTTTTTCAGCTTAATTTCTAGCAATGTTGCCCAGCAGTCCATTTTTCCTTGCTTTGATATATTGTTGAGTCATTTCTTCCTTCATTGCATTAGTTAAAGTCATAGGTGCTCATGGTGCTTTGTCTGACTGCTCCTTGCTGATGGTACAGGCTGTGACCACCATTTTTAT